ATACAAATACAATGGACCAACAAAGGGCAGAGGAGAACACAGGGTGTAAACACAGGTGAAACACATCAGGGCGGGGCAAACAATCAAGACAGGAAGTAAAACTCAAAACTACAAGCAGACAGGAAATTTTCAAAATAAGAGGGCACACAACACTAAAGGAAAAAGATACACCAAAATAAGCAAAAGAACCACTACAGAACATGAACCATGACATAAACAACATTATAACAGAGATCAGTGTAATATGGGCCCTTTAACGTGGGCTGATGTGTTTACTCAGTTAGAGCTGTCGCGGATAGGGAATTTCTCCTGCGGTGCGGTATAGCAGCTCAACAGCCCGATATGCGGTGATATCACACCCCCTCCTCCACCCCCCCATCCCCCAGAGTTACAACATTTCCAGCGGCATTGAAAACTCTCTCTGATGACATGCTTGTTGCGCAGATGCACATGTACCTTGGTTGTTGCGCGGATATAGCGTGTGTAGCGTGGAAGAAGTAACATTTGGCTTTGGAACAAGTGCTGCTGCATTTCTCCAGCTCTCACTGTGGCAGCTCGGGTCAGGGTCCTGCACCAGGTCAGGTACCCGCGGGCTTAACAGAGAAAGAACCACGAGCACATGGAGCAGGTGTCCACAAAGCACGATCGGGCGGGCGATGGCTGTACTTAACTCTGTGTGCGGCGCATAGCTCTGCGCCGGTCCTTTTGTCTGTGGTCATTCAACGGTGTACGTGGGCGCACCTTAGTCTTGGGTTAGTTCTGGGTTATCACAGGCATGGGAAGTAACGGGTGGAATGTTAACAGGTCCGGGCGGGCGCGGGTATCCAAAAATGGACCCGTGCAGGACTCTGGATCGGGTCACGTTGGTCACATGTGGCACGGTGGCCACACAACAAGAAGGTTCCGGGTTCGATCCCCATGTCTAGATGGGTTTCCTCCGGGTGCTCTCGTTTCCCCCATCAACCCAAAACATGCTACATAGGTTTCCAAGAACAGTTGATAGTCAAGGTCAGTTAAATACAACCAACCAATCAATGAACCTGCCCAGGGACTACAAGAGGAAATTAGCTCTGGTGCTAGTGACTAGACACTTCACCCACATTGCCTATTATGATAGTGGTGTGTGTGTGAGTGATGGTGGTGGTCGGAGGGACCGTTGGCGCTGATTGGCATGGCAGCCGCGCTTCTGTCTGCCCCAGGGCAGCTGTAGCTACAACAGTAGCTTACCATCACCAGGTATAGACTGAATGAATAACGCTGAATGTAATGCTCTGTAAAAGCATCTTTGTGACAAAAATGTCTGTGAAAAGCGCTATATAAATAAAGACTTACTTACGTGCAGGGATTGCAGTGGCCCAACATCCACCGCAATGGGCCTCTTAGTCTTAGTACGGCAGTGATTCATTTTTGCAGTTATTGCGACAGCCCTATACTCTGTAGCTTATTTATGTTAGCTAAAAATAATGTATTGTTTGGCACTAACTTGACTACAAAAGTGACTCTGATTTGCCCCTAATAAAAATCTCTCAGTGGAGTGAAGTAAGAGAAAGTTGGAGAAAACTTGTAAAGAGAAAACTTGTAAAGAGTTTGACAAGAGCAAATGTGTACACACAAATGCATATTTAATAACGCTCGGAGATAGTTTTTTTTGCAGTGCTAAGCTAATGAGGGCTTTGAACTTCACAGCTACATGGAAATACTATGAATAGACTATGAGTGGATTTACTTACAGTATATGCTCTTATTTATCTCTGTTTTCCCACAGTGACTCAGTGAAAATAATACTAGTTTCTGAGCTGGTTTTTCTTCCAATGGCTCTCTCCCGGGCACACAAAACATAGGGTCAAAAAGAGTAATAAATGTTAAATAAAATTGAAAAATAAAACACATTAAAAAAGCACAATTAGTAAAATAAGATGATACTGTCAAGACCCAACAAATGCTTAATACTCATAATATGTAAAACACTGTTTGTTTGTAGTTTTGCAAATTAAAACAGCATGACTCACTGCTAAAAATATACTAAAAATTCACTTTTATATGAATTCTGCCTGGACTCTTTTACTTTATTTCAAGTCCCTAAATCAATTTTTATGTGATTTTGGTTTCAGTTGAGAAAAACATGTGAATTCAAGACCCAACAAAGGTCTAATCTCCTGTCTGTAAGTCTATACTTCCCAACAGCAGCTTTACTCCTATTTAAATTTTAAAAATCCAGGTGAGATTTGAAATTTTATTTTTCTCTAGCCTATTACCACTTATAATGAAAGTAGATCAGAAAAACAAAACTGTCTGAGTCCAAAACTACATAGTCTCAGTTTCACAAAGAGTCCAGGCAATTGTGTACTCCAAAGTTTCAGAAATGGTTTCAGTTTGAATTTGTGGAAATTTTAAATGTTTTAGGAAAAATCAGCTAGATTGAGAAGAGGTATTTAAAATATATCTCATAAAGTTCAAACATAAAATAAAATAAACCAGTACGAATGGATTCCCTACCTTCTTGTATCCTGTCATTTCAACTCTAAGCTCCTCAGCTCCACCGCAGCAGCAGACTCATCACTTCTTCAGCCTCCTCAGCCTCTCAGTCTTCTTCGACTCAACATTGACGACAGTAGAGATTTCCTCCAACAAATCGTTCGCTGTGTCCCTTCACTGGCAACGTATCTATCGTCCAGTATCTATGTGAAATAAGAAATACAGAATAACGTTTTAACTTGCAATGCAAACTTACAATTCAGGTAACACAAATCAAGAAGCCAAAAACTCTTCATTTCAGTAGTAGTAGTTAGCTCCTCTCCTCGATATAAGACAGTGATTTTCAGAACCCTGTCAGAACTGAAGAAGATACTTGGAACATATTCACTTTTAAAGGTCCTAATATGGATTCTGGTGAGCTTGAGCCATGCTATATGCTGTTACCTCCAAAAAACATACCCAGAGTTGTGTTTTGTTTCATTCACACATGTTACAGTAACCTTTTATCATTACTCTGTCTGCATCTCCAAAGCTCAAAATGCTCTCTTCCACCTTGTGATGAAGTTAATAGCTATACCTTTTACCTTTTGCTCAGTAAAGATTGGCAATTCCAGAGCTGAAATGATCCAAAAGACTCTAATGAAGGTGTATGGAGTTTAAAAACACAGTGGAGCCCTACCTGTATTACCACATGGTGTCAGTTTTTTCTGTTTGAGAGAAGAACTCAGCCTAAATATGCAGGGTTTGTGTATTAAACATGAATGAATGAAACAACAACTCCTGGTCTGTTTTTGATGAGGAAATATTACACACATTACAACAAAGATCAGAAAATACCATAATATACTGTAGGCCCTTGACAGAATTCACTTTTATTTCATACATATGTGGGCATTAGCGGCAGCCATCTCCAGTCCAAACTCTTAAATCTTTCACAGAAGGGACACCTTTTTGACAGAACATAATCCGCCTATCTGTTTGTCACATCACTCATCTCTGACTGTTGCGAGTACAATGAAGAGCCCTCCTCCAGATCTGTCTAGGCTAATCCTCTTAAAGAGACATGGGACAGCAGGCTCTTCTCCTCTGGCGTGGCGGCAGGAGGCACAGGCTTGAATGGGCACATCGTGGGGCTGGGTACACACGGGCACCAGGGGGTTAATTGGAGCTGAGAGGTTTGGTTCTAATGTTCTAATCTAAACCATGCTGGGGAAATGTATTTAAAAGCTGCTGCAGGCTTGTGGTATAAGGGCATAGCTATTCTAGATCATATGCATACATCAGGTGGTTACACAGACTCATCTCTCTTGTCAAACGTGCACTATGTAACTTTTTGGAGATGTCATTGCTCTCTGGAATGTTCCACAGTATTACATTACATTACTTTAACATTTTTTTCAATTACAGGTGGTTTTATAGCTCAAAAATACCTAGAGAAACAGGCATTCTGACTGTGAGCAGGGTCACATCTCCAAAGATCTGACATGTAACTTGGTCTGGTTTAGTCTCCATGATGATAGAAAGGTTTAATGCCATACTGTGAAACATTTCAGACAAAGTAATAACATCTCAAAACAGAAAAGCATCTGATGGACCTTCCACCAGAAAAGTTACACAATGCTCCTTTAAGAGCCTGTTTACATGAGATCACTAAAAAATATTTTATCGGAAGTGCCTTTCGTTTAGAAGGTGACGGCATTTTTTGGGCATGAAAACGCAAAAATCTGAAACCACCCTGCAGAGTGGAAAAGGTGAATATGCTCCACCATAGCGTTTCCATCTACACTGCCCAAGACGCAAAACTCTGGTCAGATCTGCTCACGTTGAGTACGCGTTTACGTCACATACATCACCACCTAGCATCACCACCTTGTCGTCTGACATGCATACCCAATCCAATTCCACACACTTTTGCGTTACCATATGCACACA